ATTTTCCATTCTTTCTTTCCACTTTTGTGCCTATGGTCCCAGCTACTCAGAGGTTGAGGTGGGAGGATCACTTGAGCACAGGATTTCAAGACCAGACTGGGCAATATAGGGAGGCCCCATATCAACTAATAAAATAATAATAATAATAATAATAATAATAATAATGCCAGTCATGATGGCACGCACCTGTGGTCTCAGCTACTCGGGAGCCTGAGGTGGAAGAATCGCTAGAGCCTGGGAGGCAGACATGTGGAGAGCCATGCTGCACTCCAGTATCAGTGACAGAATGATACCCTGTCTCAAAAAAGAAAAAAAAAAAGGTTGGGGAAAATTTATATAGGCCCACATGGAGTGGAGTAAAACAAAGAATTTTTTCAAATCATCTGGCAATGAAGTGATCAGGTTGTGGGCTAGGGTGGTATCAAAGAGAATTGATAGTAAAAGAGACATTTCAAATGAAAACCAAAACTTGACAACAAATTGGACTGAGAAAGTTAATAATAGAGCAGGGGAAAATAAAGTGCCAATTTTTTTTGGCCAAGGAGTTTAAATAGTAAACCCATTGAAACGATCTAGTTGAGAAGAGGAGAGTTTCTTTTTCTGCCTATTTGTTTGTTAGAAGGGAGAGGAAAGGCAGGCTATGAGAAGTAAAATCATTTGCTTTAGGACATGACTGTTGGCAATATAAGATCTTTGTGTAAGTACAACTATGTGGAAAGTAATTGAGATGGTGATGTAGACTAAAACCCAAAAAGAAGTAGAAATAATTCTATTTGTGATAATAACTGAAGGACAAACTCACAATTTGATTATTCTTAAAAGAAGTCTCCCAGAAGCTACAAATAAAATATTGCTTTATTAATCCAGTTCTTTTCATCTAAGTATATAGTAGCAATAATAGAAAGACAATGCCAAATATTTACCTAACTTGATGCAGCAAAAATAAAATAGGAACTTAACTTTGAATCGTTTAGGAATTTCATGTAATAGTCTGACCTCAAATATATTACTAGAGAGATGTATGTGCATATGAGCCACAGAAAATGATGTTATTTCATTTTGTAAAACACATGACTCATCCTTTCTTTCAACAACACTTTAAAGCACTTTGCTAAAGTTTCCTGAATAATCTCACATAAGTATAATGTTATTTGATATTTGCATTAACTCTATGAGGTAAATAGGAGCTGTGTTATTATCCCTATTTCACATATAAAAGAGCTAAGGTCTAAATCTTTGAAGGCAATGGCATTCAAATCCTTTTGCAATAATCCAAAGTAAGAATTACATACATTGAGACCTTGTTTGTGACTCTGTCTCTCTTTCTCTCACACACATAACTGAGAAAAAAGTTTGATGAAATATTCTATTCTGTTACATTTCATTTTTTAATGTTGAGTACAACTCACTGCTGAGCATATCCTGCAGTTCAGAAAGCACTGATTTAAAAGTATTCATTGGCATTCTCAATGTCACTTGCTCTGTTGGACAAATGTTGTCTTATTCTTTTCCTTTACTATGACTCTCTGCAATCTCTCTCAATAAAACAGTTTTCAATCCCATAACTAATGTTACATATATTTGATAAGGAACACGAGAGAGAAAGGGCTTTTTATTTCTAGACTGTGATGCATGATGAGTGTGTCTCATACTTCACCATGCTCTGTGGATAAGCCCATTGACAAAGGTACATCCTATTGTACCTAATTTACGTTAAATGGGTAACTTAATTTTCATCTTTTGGTGCACATACTAATTTTCTATTACTTGAGTATTTCATACCTCAGTTGGAAAAAAAATATTAACAAACATGTTGTCACCACTCAGACCTGGGGATCTGAGAATTTATGACATTTTGCCTCAGCTCAAAATGACCAAATGGCAAATTGGCCTCCTAGATTTTCAACTTTCCTCATTATTAACCTCAGAAAGCTATGTTCTGTGATAGTTTGGGGATGCTTTCTCAGAAGTTTCAGCATATTGCAGCATAGAGACTTTCAAACTTCATGCTAGTATCAGAATTCTTTTTCCAAAATTCTATATCACAATGTACCCAATAAATATGTACAATTATTATATGTCTATTAAAATTTTTAAATAAAATATAGTATAAAAATCCCTGTACATAAAAAAATCCTGTACAAAAAGCTCTAATGAATGAAACAGATATAAGTGGAGCTGCTCTGGTTAAAATAGAGGTAAGGGCGGACCAGCCCTCTACTTCATTATTCACTAGCTCCCAGTCACAGTTACTAAAGACTTCACATCTCCTTGCAACAAAGCTCAAAAGCCAATGAGATAGTAAAAATGGCATGAGTATGAGATTCAAACTGAGGTGGGTTCAAATTTCAGTAATACCTCCTACCAGCTATGTGACTGTGAGCAAATTACTTACATTTAAAAGAGTAACTGTAAAGAATAAATTAAACAATATATAAAATCATCTAAGACTTTATAACTTAATTTTAAATACTAATTTAATGTATATTTGTCTTCTTTTCCTTTCTTCCTAAGCCCATCCTTTCTTCTTTCTTTCATAAAAAAGTTTTTGAAGTCAGGAAAGAAAAAGTACAGAAATAGTATGAAATGCATGGTTCTTTAAGAAACAGCAAAAAGAAATGCTTATATAAAAGTGGATTATTTCAAATTTTTCAAAATTATAGCATGCATTCAGACTGATTAGTAAAGTTGGCCAAACTACTCCCTGGTCACAAAACTATCATACTCACTCTGCAAACTATACATGCCAGAGCACAGTAATTGAAGTCCTGGAGGTATCATTTATAAATGTGGAGAAATAGCAAAGGGAAGGGGAGGAGAGGTGAGGGGAGGGAAAAGGAGGGAGACAGGAGGGGAGGCGGGGAGGGGAGGTGAGGGAGAGAAGGAAGGGGAGGGAGAGAAGGGAAGGGGAGGAAAAAGTAAGAAAGGTAGGAAAGAAAAACAAAAGAGGGAAGGAGGAAAAGAAAAAGCAACAAACATGCTCTGGGGTATCTTTGGCTAATTTAAATTGAAGACAAGATATTTCCTAAATTATATTGTCCATATCTAATTAAAAATCACATGGTTTCCAATAAGAGTCATTTAATACCACGAGAATTCCAGAATAGCAGATTATCTGCAGAAAGAGTTCATCGTTTATCTGTGTTAAGCTTATCACTAGCTTATATGTGTTAATATAGAGCATTACGTATTGACAGCTTTTAAATTCTATGGTTAACCCAGGCCTGTGGGCAAGAAATATGAGCCACTCCTTAGTCTTTGGTGTAAAGATGTGTCCTCTGAAGATGTGTGGAGGCTTGCCTCAACACACAGAGTATTTACTGGTATAAATTTGGCACTACTGAACTTGGCAAACAGTTTAAATTCAATAAATATTATCACACAGGCACAATATGCCAAACATTGTGCTAGAACATAGTAGTGTGCTACTAGCAGAAATCACAACAGCAATAATGTTGATGATGATAAATAATACTTGAGGACATAAATATGTGCCAGGAATTTTGCTAAAAGCTTTTACTTGCTAGGTTCACAGACCAGGCAGTGAATGAATGAACGTATGAATGAGGTTTTACATGCAATATTTCATATAATGCTTCTAACAATCACAAAGATTATGTACAATCATTATCCTTATTTAACACATGAAGAAACTAAACCTACAATATTATATAACATGCCCAAGATTACTGTCTAATAAGTGGAAATGTTGGTATATCAGAATATCTAGTTATCCGTATATGGCCATATGCATAGCCAGATCTTTTAACTGCTACACTCTACCCAGCTCTGCACACTGAACACTGCAATATTGTGTATTTCCTTTTTACATGTAGGAGGCTGGGGAAGAAAAGGCAGAAAAAGCTTGAAGTGAAAACTGATGCTTAAAAGACATCAAGAAAAAAATAAATATGATACACATATATAAATGCATATGGATACACATAAAAATTGTGTGCCTCAGTGTTTAATTGTAGTAATGGTTCAGATTTATACAGTGCTGTGTGCCAGGCACTATTTCAGGTACTTTTCATGTATTAACTCATTTATTGTCATGACAGGCCTTAGAGGTAGATATTACCATTTTCTCCATTTATGTAGATGAGGAAACTGAAGCACTTTTCTGAAGATAATTATCTTTGAACAACACTAGATAAGGGTGTAATTAGTGTGAATAAGGTGAGCGTTAAAGATAATATTCTAAGAAGAAATTAACAACTGCAATTGGCTGTCAAAAATGAAAACAGAATATTCTTGTTTATGGCAAAATAAAGCAAACACTGATAAGAACCAGGGCCAGGGATAAGAGAGGAGAAACATACTGAAATTAAAGAAACATAATTCAAGGACAAATGAACAACTAAAAGTAAAGTGGATCTCTATATTAATCATTCAAATGAACACAGCCTTGGAGCACAGAATAAACTGAACCAAGACAACAGCAAGTTAATTTTATGGCCAAGTAAGATTCTTAATTTGTGTATACTTTATTATACCTTTCTTAAAATTTATCAATCTATCTTGTATTACTTGTGTCACATACATTTTATAACTCCACTACCAAATATTAAATTCCCTGAGTGAAGGATATAACTTTTATGACAGACAGAATCTGGTACAGTTAGTTTTATCAAAGAGTTGCTTAAAAAATAAGTATGTGTTAAATATTATAACCATTAACACAATCATAGTACTATGTTTCAAAGCCATTGCTAATTGAAAGTTTCATCATTATGGCTTTACATTATATATATATATATATATATATATATATATATACACACACACACACATTTTTAATTACAAATATTTTTCCACTTACAAATGAACGAATTTGAACCACACACAACCCATCTTTTTAGAATCTTATAGAACCCAGGAAACAGAAAGGCCAAGTAATGCCTGAGAGGCCTGAGCAAGAAATATGGACAAACACAGAAGAAAACACTGTTTTTCAAATCTTTTCATCTCTTCTCAAAGCTGGCATGCAATAACATTATACCTGTAGCTAGAACTACAATCAAACTCCACTCATTGGGCCAGAGACCCTTGTGGTGTTAGAGAAAAACTTGCCCCTCATCATGTTGCATAAACATACTACCTATGCTTGTGAGTTCATCAGCCAGTCAGTGACATCATTATGTCTTTAAAACATGAAATAGTAAGGTAAAAATGTGGCCCAGGGCAGAGAATAAAGTAAAACTCGGGTTATCTGGTTCCAAATCCACCTGGGAACGTGCAGAGAGAAGTAGCTAAGACCTCAAAGTACAACATTCTGGGGTTCCATGTGAAGTAACCCTTCCAAAGACTTTAACTCACAGCATATGCTGGATCTAATTCAAAGCTGAACTTTAAATAAGGTCAGGTTACAAAGAATTATAGAAAACTGAAAGACTCACTTTGTAATATGGAAAAAAAAAGTCTGAATCATAAGATGAAATGAGCTGAATGCACTTATTGGGGTTTCTTGACTAAAGAGTGATAGTAAAATTATTAGACGCCCTCTAGTGGATTAATTTAAAATTATTTCTTCCTTGATTAAAAAAAAGATCTGAAACTGAAAATCGGCTTTTTAACTTATTTAACAGGGCCAGGGTTCTTTCTCTTTTGAGGTGATGGGAGTGGGAGTGGAATATGTCTTTTAAAAACATATATATATATGTATATAGAAAGTGTTTTCTTGAAAATATTTTATAGTATTTTTTGGTAGCATAGAATCTTGTTTCTTAATATTGTAATTAAAATTAAAATTTCCTAATTCAATCAAAAACTTAAAAAATAATAGAATCCCTCATTTTCTTAAAAATAAAAGACATATTGTAACATTTTTGTTTGAATTTACTTGCTAGAATTTAAAAATGCTTACACTCTCAACATTTCATTTTAATGTTTCACAATAAAATGAAACTTCTCAGGGAAAAATCTTATAAATGACTAGGTAAGAAGTGCTTGATGAATACAGAAAGAATGAATAAATGTCCACTAGAATTTTTTTGAAAACTGTTTGCAATATTTTCTTAATTATTGATTCAGTTTGTGTTTTTAAAAGTTGTAGAATAAAGGCTTTTTAAAAATAATTTGACACTCAGAGAAAGGTTACAAGAATCATACAGATTTCTTAAATACTTTCACCCAGATTTTCTCAAATATTAACATTTTACATTTGCTTATTTATTTTATCTTATATACATTTTCCCAATTGCTTAAAAGTTGTAGACATGATTTTTCTTTATCCCTCAATACTTCAATGTGTGTTGAAGGCCTGTCACATAGCCACAGTAATGAGTGTCAAAATAAGAAATCTAACATTGATACAATACCACTATTTAATTTGTATGTTCTATTCAGAGCTCATGAGTTGTCCCAGTTTCATTTTTGCCCTTTTAACAAAAGAAAATCCAAGATTATGTGTCAGATTCAGTTGCATACCTCTTTAGGATTCTTTTAGCTAGAACCATTCTTCAGTCTTTCTTTGTGTTTCATAATATTGACATTTTTGGAGAGTGCAAACCAGTCATTTTGTAAAATGTCCCTCAGTTGGGGGATATTTCTGTCTGATGTTCCCTCAAAGTTAGATTCAGGTTATACACTTTAATCAAATATACAAAATTAGTGATGCTAAGTTCTCAATGCATTACATAAGGAGAAAGACATTGTAAATAGGTCCTATTATTGGTAATGTTAACATATTAATCTAGATATTTCTCTTCTGTAAAGAGGAGAATATAAGGAATTATATTCCTTATAATGAATAAGTGTCCTGCAGGCTGATAGTTAGAGATTTTATAAATATCCTTTTCTCCTCAAACTTACACCCATTATTTTTACTGGCTATTGATGATTCTTGCTGTAATCATTTATTATTATAGTGATTGCCAAATGTTAATCACTAATTCTATTATTCCTTTTTATTTATTAGTTGGCATTCTACATTATGGAAGAACTTTTTCTCAACCTCCCCTCCCATTTATTTATTGTTTTTGTTATTTTATAACTTTCATAAGTATAAGTTCATGGATTCTTACTTTATTCAATAGTTTATCATTCTTTTAGATCAGCTTCTTTTTTGTATTTTAATGTTTAAACTGACCCAGATTTGGCCAGTGGAAGCTCTTTTCAGCTGGTTCCTGGGTTTTTTTTTTTTTTTTTTTTGTTTTTTTTTTTTTTGGCTTTTAATTGACATGTTCTACCATTCTTTGAGCAATTGTCTCTTCATGTCTTTCGACCATTTTTTAAAATTTCATTTTAATAGGGTTTCTGTCTCTAAAACAAAATTTAAATATGTATTTTGAGGAGTACATTCTAAGTGCCAGAAACAGTTTTAGTTACTACAGATATAACTGTGAGCAAAATCACTTGCAAAAAGTTTTCATTGTACTGGAAACTGAAAATACAAACAAGGTTTTAATACTTGAGAGAAAATTATTCTTCAAGGTTGAAATAATTTCAAAAAAATCTGGAATCTTACAGTCTATTGACACTTACCCAAACATATTTTGTAAATATCCACATGACTTTTCATAGAAATGTCAGAAGTTTAATACTAAGGAGCTTAGAAATTTCTTTAGGTAACAACATGATAGAAGGCTAGCAGAGTACCAAAGAGAAAACTTTCAAATACCATTTGGAAAAAAGTAACATAACTTTTTTATTTTCTCATACAGTTATACATCTTCAGGATGATTCATCTAACAGACAGCTCTGGACAAACAAAAGTTTTCTCTCAATGTGTAACACACTGCAGTTTTCCACAATGGTGGCATCAAGCATTTTATAACTTTTTCACCTTCAGCTGCCTCTTCATTATCCCTCTTCTCATCATGCTGATCTGCAATGCAAAAATAATCTTCACCCTAACACGGGTCCTTCATCAGGACCCCCACAGTATGTATTCCTTAGATTTAGTGTAATTTGTGAGCAGTTTTTAAAGAGCAATACTCAAAACAGAATGGCACAAACTGTATGCCACATACTGTTCTAAGCAGTTTAGATATATTAGCTCATTTAATATTCACAATCACCCTATGAGGTAATATTTTTATTATGTTTTTATCAGCCTCAATTTACAGATGAGGTAACTTAATATCTTCTGAGGTTCTACATTTGCACCATGAAATTAAAGAAGAAAGAATGATTATTTCATTAAAACCCAGGATAGACATTGGCAAATGGTTTCTGCTGTGTTGCAACTACAAATTGTGATATCTAGACTACAGCAAAGTACAACCTGCTAAATGCTATACAATAAACTAGCTCAAGTAAGCTGTTTCATTTTATATTCAAATCCCCTATATTTACACAACATAAACTATGCACATTTGTGTGTGTTAATATGTGAAATATTATTGACTATGTAATTGATTATTTCATTCAAAACTTCACAGATGTGTTTGTACCTTTCTTGCTTTAGTAATATGGTGAATTCCCAAAAATTAAAATTTGTTAATTTATGAAATAAACGTTGTTATGTTGGCATGACACCCAAAAGACATGTTATCAATGGCATAGTGCATAAGTTATATCTAGTATAACTTAATAGGGAAATCATCTTAATTGTGATGGCATGAACAGTCTCAGTAGATATTTTCAAAAGAAAATAATCATGGTGGCCAGGCGTGGTGGCTCACGCCTGTGATCCCAGCACTTCGGGAGGCCGAGGCGGGTGGATCACAAGGTCAGGAGTTCAAGACCAGCCTGGCCAAGATGGTGAAAATCCATCTCTAGTAAAAATACAAAACTTAGCTGGGCTCGATGGCATGTGCCTGTAATCTCAGCTACTTGGGAAGCTGAGGCAGAGAGTCGCTTGAACCTGGGAGGTAGAAGTTGCAGTGAGCTGAGATGGTGCCACTGCACTCCAGCCTGGGCAACAAAGTAAGACTCCAACTCATAAAAAAAAAAAAAAAAAAGCAAAGAAAAGAATCATGGTGATGCTCTGTAATAAGTAATTGAGCAATTTCCACCTGGCAACACAAAATGCTATTTAATATTTCCCAAAAAAGTATACTTCAAAGCCAATTTGCCTTCAAAATCTTATCTTGAGAGAGTCTATTTTATAAGCAATATCTAAGAAGGGAACAAAGAAAATAGGAAGGTGAATGATAAATAGGGGTTAATCTGAAGAAATATGAGCAGTACAGAAGCAAAAATACAAAAAAGCAGAGGCAGGAAGCAAGAAATATTATGAACACATTTATTTATTTATTCTTTTATTTATTTGATTAATACATACTGACTACTCACTATTGCTGGAAACTGTGCTAGGTGGGGATACCATGGTGAATAAGAAAAATCTAGTAATTATCCTGCTTTCATGGAGACCACAGTATAGCAGAAAACGGTAAACAAATTATCATCTATGACAATGTTTCAAAAGAGGAAAAAGCATGACATGTTGTGGTTGTCTTGATTTTTTTCATTTTCAGCCACTGTGCTAAGCCAAGATGCTTTTTTGAATTTAAAATTGATGTGTCAGATATTGAGGATTAAATGAAAAGTGTGTGAAAGGAGCAAAGCCTCTAGCAAGGCACGCAGTAAATGGTAATTAATTTTGTCTGCCAAAAATCCATAACCAGTCTGTATTTAATAAATTACTTATTTTAACACTTCTAGACAAAAAATAATTTCATAATATAAGACTCCATGCATGGAAATGTTTTCCTCTGTATGTCCACTCTTCAGTGACCAATTAATGAGAAGTTTTAAAATGACTATTTCTGAATAGCATTATCTGTTTCCCTCAAAAAAAGAAAACAGTGTATAAACAGTATTTCTTACTTAACAGAGAAGTTCTTAATATGAAATACAAGAACAGATTTTGAGCACTTCAAATTTGCAGCTTTTTACCTTTAAGAACTAAGTTCAAAATTTCATGTAAGCAGTCTGACTGTTAAAAGTCAGCAATTCCATTAATTTCCAGCAAATTTCTTCACAAGTGTAACCTATGAACTTTAAAGGCTGTGTTTATATAAAAAGTGAAATTATTTCAGATATCATAGAAAGCAGCAAACAGTTGAGATAGATAATTCGGGTTAGCACACTTTCATTCACACATGATACTTGCTATCCTTAGTGGCATAGATACTCAGTGAACATAATTTTGTTTTGAAGTCAGAATTCACAAAGCAAACAAAAACATAAAGTGGGGAAAGGACACCCTACTC